TCAAGCTTTTTACTTCTGCCAATCTGATAGGTGAAAAATGATATCTCAGTGTGGTTTTAATTTACATTTCTTTTATTAAGAGTGAAGCTCTGAGAAAATAAGTGTTGGAGGGGATGTGGAGGAATTGGAACGCTTGTGCACAGTTGGTGGAAATGTAAAATGGTACAGCCACAATGGACAACATTATAGTGGTTCCTCAAAAAATTAAAAACAGAATTATCATATGATCCGGCAATTTAATTTCTGGGTATATAACTAAAAAGAGTTGAAGGCAAGTTGAAGAGATAGTTGTATACCCATGTTCATGGCAACATTATCTACAGTAGCCAAAAGATGAAGCAACCTAAGTGTCCATCGACGAATGAATGGATAAAACGTGGCATACACAAACAATGGAATATTATCCAGCCTAAAAAGGGAAGGAAATCCGGACACATGCCACAGCATGGATGAACATTGAGGACATTATAATAAGTGAAGTAAGCCAGACACAAAAGGACAAATACTGTATTCATACATGACATCAGTCAAATAGAGACAGAAAGTTGAATGGTGGTTGTCAGGAACAGAGGGAGGAGAGAATGTGAGGAGTTTTCATTTAATGGGTTCAGAATTTCAGTTCTGCAAGATGAAAAAAGGTCTGTGGATGGATGGTGGTGATGGTAACACAATGACATGAATGTGCTTACTGCCACTAAACTGTACACTTAAAATTGGCTAAGATGGTAAATTTCATTATGTGTATTTTACAATTTCTTTTAAATGAAGCTCTTCATCTTCTCCTGTAAGAACCATTGTGTTTCCTTTTCTGTGAACTGCCTGTTCATATCCTTTTCAATTTCCTTTGATTTCTTGGTCATCCTACTGATTTGCAAAAGCACTTTGTATTAGCCTTTTACCTCTTAACATAAATTGCATAAATTTTTTCCATTTTTCTATTGACTTGGTTTTTGTTCGCTGTTGTTGGTTTTGGTGTCTGGCTAGGTTTGAGGTAGAGCTCTTGTTACCGTGGCTCAGACCGGCCTGTAGTGTGTGGGTTCTCGACTTTGTGGAGGAAAGATTTCACAACACGGGTAGAGGTGATTTAGAGAGCACATTTATTAAAGCTGGGGACAGGGAAACAAGGGAGTGCTTTGGACAGAATGAGCAACAAGAGAGCCTAGGCGTTGCTCCGCTTTGGCTCCCTAGAAACATTACAGGAAAGGAGTGCCCAAGGCTGGGCTGCTGTGAGCTCACTGGGAAGTGAAGGTCATAGTGACAGACATGAGCCAAAGTGGGACTGTTTTTAGCTCACTGGGAAGTCAGGGAGAAGGGGGCCTTGGAGACAGGATGGGGGTAATTGGGATAAGCCCAGGGCGAGCTGCTGCTGCCCCTGCTCCCTTTTTTGCAAGTGTGCTGGGGACCCTTAGAGTTTAGGAGGAAGTGAAAAGTTCGTGCTGGGGAAGGGGCATGGGCCTGCTCTTGAGCAGGGCTGCCCCCAGTCTTTGTCTTGAGGGCTTTTATCTTTCTTCTGCAGGTAAGAATCTTAGGGGAAGGTTTCAGCAGAATATTCATCTGCTTTCCAGGTGCATTTTTAGTATGCTGATGCACCAAAGTGAGCATATGGGGAGGGGGGTTATTCTTTGGTCTGCTTTACTGCTTTACTTTTATCTTGGGTCTCTCTGGCTCTAACGGGGTTTTTGTTATTTGTTCCCTTGACTTCATCTGTCCTTGGGTTTAGCTGGCACAAATGGCATTAATTGGGTCTCTGTTCTCTATCCTCCCCCTCTCCACACACCCACACCAGGGTGATTTAAGCTATTTATCCTCTGGTTAGGGAGGGGAAGTATAAACCTTTTGCTCTCAAGTGTCATTGGTTAGGAGAGATAAGGTCTTGCAATTCACCAGCTGGCCAGAAATTGTTCAAATTGTTTGGCCTTGTTTAATTTTCTTGTCTCAGTTTCCCTATTCCACATGCCCATGAATTTTCCTAGTTTCCTACTATCCTGTCACACTCTGACTGAAAAAAATTTAAAGCCATTTTATTATGGAAAACTTCAATACATACAAAAGTAGAAAAAAAATGTTATAATGAACCCCAAGTAATCATCTGCCAGATCCACCAATTATCAATTTAGCCAACCTTGCATCTGTACCATAGGAGGGAGAGAGCCAGCTCCTCTTTGCACCCTGCTACTTAGTAACCGTCTACCTCCAAGCCCTGTGATGTCCTCCACCATGTCCCACTGCGTGTTCCACTGCCTCTCTTGCATTGGACAGTTCACCAGCAAACCTAGGCTTTTAAATGAATGATGCAAATTCAAGTGCTACACATGGAGCTGAGACAGCTAGGAAGAGCCTTCTCGAGGAAGGAAAACTCAAGGTAGACTTTGGACAATCAGGCAGAATTTGGATGGGTGAAGAGGATGAAAAAGCACAACCAGGAAGGAGAAAGGGGTGAACCAATTCGACATCTAATTGGGAGGTAGTTAGGGTGATGATGGAGGTTCCTATTAGAGCTCAGGGATACAGAGGGTCTCTCTGTTCTGCCCATGAAAGGGCATTTTAATTCTCCCTGAATAATCTGCCTAACAGAGATTTGAGAGATGGATGTAAACTCAAAAAGGCTCATTTACTTTCTACCTGTGAGGGAATGTTGCCATTGCAGGGGGCTCATGTACAAAGGCAAAACCCTTGCAGGAAGGGGCCAGGCGGCTGGTTACATGGGCACAGAATGAGGCTGCATGTGGCTCACTTAGCTTCGCCACATCCTGTGATGGGAACACAAATCTAAAGGAAACAGAAAAGCATTCCAGAGTCAACCTCAGTCAAGGTTCAATGCCGCTGGTGGCCATGTAGCTACTTGCTCAAGGATATAGGGACAACTCACCCGTCCTTTTGGCACTTGGTGGAAAGGTGGAAGGCTAGAGCCTGGGCCCCCAAGACCCAGAGCAGATGTCCCTTTGTGAAAGATAAAGCCAGATGCTAATGAAAGTGGTAAGGACTGATGTTAACCAGTAATAACTATTGCAGTTAGGAAGACAGTCCATCATGAACTGAATCAGTTTGAACTTGTCCAGAGGTGATTGGGCATTTTAAAAGGAGAATGAGGAAGTAAAAGGTGAGCAGGGGCTCAACAGAGTCAGGGAAGTGAAAAATTACAAAGGGTTGGTCAGTGTAAATGCTGACTAGTACAGCTGTGTCTGCTTGCTGGAAATTATTGAGGTTAGCATTCTAACCTCCCGCAGAGAGGCCCTATCCTCTCTGAGATTATGTTTCAAGGGAATGGCTTTCAGGTCCTTGGGAGAGATACTCCTGAGCTGTAGGAGATACATATACATCTCAAAAGGACAAAGGAAGGAGGCACAATTATGAGTCCTTTTTAGTAAATGATCTAAGAAAGAGGTGGTTGGGACCTATCATCTGCTGTTGGCTAGAACAAATGGTAAAATCTTTTGGCAGCCTTGAGCTTTATCAGGCACACACTTCAGAGAGGGCTAGGGTCATCCTAGAGATGTGGTCTTGAGCTGTTAGTAACTATGTTATTAAATTTTTTAATGTAGGGGGAGGAGGATGGATAAAATAATGTGTATTGAGAGTATAATTTTGAGGCCTATGGAAGAGGTCTCAGAGGAGCCTGGCTAAATTTTGGTCAAGCAGAGAATCTTTCTCACCTTAGAGCTGAAGAGTCTGGGATTGTGGTTGATGGTGATAGTTACCAAGTTTCCACTTCAAAGGTCTGTAGCTCCTAGAACATCAGCACAGCAGGTGGTAAGGAGGGTCTACCTGGGTAGGTGTGAGAGTCACTCTCAGAAAATTGGAAAGTCAGGAGTACACCTCCCACCTCTTACTCCCCACCCCCAGCCTGCTTTAGGTAAGAGCTCACCCAGAAGTAGCAGATTCTGAGTTGACTGTCACAACTCTACCCAACAAACACCAACAGAAGCAGTTCTCAAAGTGGTTCCCCAGCCCAGCAGCATCAGCAGCACTTGGGAACTTGCTAGAAATGCAGTTTCTCAGGCTCATTCTAGTTGATGAAACAGAACTGGGGGCTGGGGGCGGGGCGGGGGGGGGCAGTCAGCACCTTGTTGTGTGAATAAGCTCTCCAGGAGAATCTGACACACGCCAAAGATTGAGGACCACTGACTTAACAGGCCTTCCCTTTGCTAGCGGGGATGAGACGGTGGAGGGTGAAACTGAGGTCGACCTGGAGCTTCATAAAGGATCTGAGCTAGGGTTGAAAGTGGGGAAAGGAGAAAACATGGAAAAATATTGAAAATGTTTGCACTACAGAAAAAGAGATAGGAATGGAATGAGAAAGTGCCCCAGCGGATGACCGCTCCAGCAAACCGGCAGACCCTCGGGCCCCGTTCCCAGGTGGGTAAAACCCCACGCCCACGTAGCTCCCGGAGCGCTCTCTCCTCGGGCCTGGACGCAGCAGCCCAACCGCAGATCCGGCTGACAGAGCCCAGGAAGGAAGCCAAGCTAGCCTCAGATCATAGCTCTTCGCGAGCGCGAGTGGAAACGGTACCCGGGGTGCGGTTCACGGGACAGAGGCATCTCCTCCAGACGGGCTCGGTTGCAGCTGGCCACGGCCGTGTCTCAGAGACATCCTAGGCTAGTTCGCACCTCCTGGGAATCCAGGTATTCAACCCGGCCCGGAGCCCCAAACATCCCCACATCATGTGCTGGGAGCCTGGCCTTCTGGGAACCGATTTCCCATCCCCCCGCCCCCTCCAATCCCCTAACGAGCGGTAGACCCCCAGAGCCCGGGCCGAACTACAAAGCCCACAATCCCTGGGGCTCAGGAGCATTGCCTTTTGGGAGTAGTAGTCCTGGATGCGAGGCACCCGCTATTGACTCAGCGGCAGCTGGACTCCACATCCCAGCATGCCCGTGCGCGCGCGGGAGGAGGAGGGAGGGGAGAGACCAGAGGATGTAAATGGGGAGGGGGCAGCCGGCCCCCTTTCCCCCACCCTTCCCTTCGAGCCGGGCAGGGGTGGGGGGAGGGGCCGGGCTGAGGCGGCGGCAGCTGCTCGCTCCGGTAGGGCAGGGCCGGCAAGGGCGGGACTGGCCCGCTGCGGGCGAACCAGGGATCGGCGAAGCTAACGGGTCCGGACGTCGGCGGCGGCTGCAGCGGCGGCAGCGGTGGCTTTCTGCCTGGGCGGAGGCGGCGGCAGGAGCAGCGAGCATGGCCCGCGCGGCGCCCAGCGCCGACTGAGGTGCGCGGGCGGGATGAGGGCGGGCGGGATGCGGGACGCCCCGGGCCCCACGGTGCTCCAAACCCTCTCTGTGCGGGCAGCTGTCTCGCCCCAGCGGCCCAGACCGGCCCGGTCCACCCCAGTAACTTCCCCCGGGTTGGGGCGCTGGGCTCCCCCATGCGGGAGCGGGTCCGCTTGCATGGCCTCAATCTCCATCCCCGCCTTCTGCTTCTGCACATCAAGCCGCTCCCAGCTCTCCAGGCGCGGCTGTTCCACTCCTTGGTGGCAGCTCCCAGCCCAGCCCTGGGAAGCACTCTCTGCCCCAGTCCTGATTCTATCTAGTCCACTACCTAGTTCTACCCCCAGCCCCGCCGTTCCTGGCCTCTGCCCTGTCTGGAGACCCCTGCCCCGCTTTTCCTGGTCAGAGGCTGTCTTTGCAACCATCAGCACCTCTCCTCTTTCCCCTTCCTGGCAATCCCCCGCTAGCCACCCCCAAAAACCCAGTTCTCTCTGATAACACCTAATAGCTCGACTGCCTTCTCACTTTAGAGAAATTGAGGCACAGCATAAGCCAGGAACTTGGCCAATGCCATGCCCCATTCCTGTGGGGGCTGGCCCAAACCCATCCCTCAGAATGGAAGAGTATTTCTTCCTTCCAGTCTTTCTGTGACTGGACCAAACTTCCTGGGCCTCTGCTACAGCTCTGGGCTGATCTCACTTTAGTCTCCCCTTTAGTTTTCTATCACTTCTGTTCCCCTGCTCCTCGTCCTTTCCACAGCCCACCTCTGGCCCTCTCTGCCTGCAGAGTCACCCACCCATTGCTTCTTTGCTCAAGTTAGCCTTTCCATTTCTATTTCTCACCAACTGCATCCATCTCTCATTTTGCCTCTTGCTTTAGAGCTGCGTAAGGCTCTGTAGAACAGCCTAAGATAGTGTTAGGGGAGAGGGGAGAGAGGTGCTGGTGGCAGAAAGGAATTGGCAGCCTCTTTGAGCCAAAGCTGCCAAGAGGGGTTCAGGAAAACGGTCATTCTTAGCCAGTAACTCATACTCCCTTCTTGTCTTTGGGACAGTTGTCTAGAAGCTGGTTGGTAGTCCCTGTTCCTTCCTCTGATCGTGCCTGGCAGGCTCCAAAGTCCCTCTGAGATGGGGGGAACCACCTATGCTGGAGATGGCATTGGTGGCGATGGCAGCAAAAGAGGAGCCTGGGAGACCACACCCCTAGGCCTCATCTTGCTTCAGCTTCGAACTTTAGAGGGGGTTGTCGGTTCAGGAAAGGATGCCTGCCAGGTGCCCTGAGCTCTTTGTGGAAGAAGACACAGTGTCTGTAGGGGCAGGTGGTGATTTCAAATTGAGTTGTAGTGTTTAGGATTTGAGGGACAGAGGGAACTGGGGCTCAGTGAGGTGGCACAGACCTGTCTGTATAATTCAGTTTTTTGCCTTCTTGTCTTCCTTCGGCAGATTTGCCTTTGGGTTGTCCCTTTCTAGCCCAGTGCTCAGTTTCCCAGTAGGAAGTGGAGGGAGAAAGGGTAAATCTATGAGCCATCAGGAGGCTCTGGGAGTGTGTTGGGGTCCTGAATGAGCAATCTTGATCTGAACCAGATGGTTCCCTGCTTTAGCAACCCCCTCTCATCCCTCCCCCTTGGCTGAGAATAGGATGCCTTTAACCTTGTAACTTGAGACTGGAGGAAGGGAGGCCAGGGGGCCAACTGTCTCTGTGTATGTTTATGTCTGCATCTACACACTTGCGTGCAAGCTTGCCAGGGGCCTGTGGGAGTGATTGTGCCCAAGAATGTATTGCCGTGATGTGCTGTGGCATGCTCACAGCTCTCTATGAACTTTCTGAGCCCAAACCCCAGATAGGGCCAGTTTCTAAGCCCCTAGGAATCATGGGGTGTGGCCTCATGGGAGCATTTTTCCACATGCCAAGCTTTTGGACCTGAGAAACACCTCAGGGCAAGGATCACTCTTTCAGAAAACTACACGTGGTTGAGGAGTCCAAGAGAACAGCATGGGGGGGTGTTCTCTTTTCCCTAGTCATGGCAAGAGAAGATCTGAGGGACAGGGGTGTGGGGAGGCTGGTGGGAAACTGCTTCCTTTGCCTTGTTCTATACCACATCCTGCTTGTGTATTGTGCACTTGATTTTGGCCCTTACTAGACTGTGGAAGTTCTTCAAATGTGTCCTCATTTTTGAACTAACAAAACCTGGCTTGGTCCTTAGCACATGGTAGGTGTTCAGTAAATGTTTGAGGGTCTTATGATTAAAGGTTTAGGACAGGATTCCTTATAGTTGATCAGGTGTCAGAATCCCCTGGAGCGCTATTTGTGGCACATATTTTTGGGCCCCACTCCAGTAGTCTTCTGATTCAGTCTCTCTGGGTGGGGCCTAGAATTTGCACTTCAGCCCAGCTCCTTGGAGAGAACACTTTGAGAATCCCTGGTTTGGGGCCATTGCTAGTGCTTGGGATTAATCCAGGCCAGATGTAAAGTCTTAAGAGGAGTTTTGCTACCTTCCACCTTGTGTCCCCACCCAGTCTTTCCACCTCTCCTCTCCTTTTCTTTCTTTCTTTCTTTCTTTCTTTCTTTCTTTCTTTCTTTCTTTCTTTCTTTCTTTCTTTCTTTCTTTCTTTCTTTCTTTCTTTTTCTTTCTTTCTTCCTTCCTTCCTTTCAAAAAGCTTTTATTTATTTATTTTTAGAGAATGAAAGGGAGGGAGAAAGAGAGGGAGAGAAACATCAATGTGTTTTTGCCTCTCATGCACCCCCTACTGGGGACCTGGCCTGGAACCCAAGCCTGTGCCCTGACTGGGAATCGAACCAGCAACCCTTTGGTATTCGCAGGCTGGCACTCAATCCACTGAGCCACACGAGCCAGGGCGTCACCCCGTCTTATTCTGGCAGCTGTACTGGATTGGCGTTTTTCCTTTTATTCTCATGCTGCCCGGTGTTGGCTAGGTTAATGGTAGGGGTGATTTGTGGTACCTGAATTTCCAGTCCCACTTTAACTACATAGCAGATATTGACCCATGGTTATTTGAGGGAAGGCCGCACAAAAGCAGGGCATTTAAGATTTGGGGCTTTGGAATAGGGGCGTGGATGTGAGGAAGCAGACACTGAACTAGGCCTTCGTCTGCCCTGTCCTTGTACCGCAGGCCAGGCAGTCTGAGGTGCCTGCAAGAGAAGTGCTGCTGTGGCTGCACACTGGACAGGATGCCTAAGAATCTTTGAAATTTATAAAAATAGAAGAAATTCCTTACATTGTGCTTTTAACTTACAAAACATTTCCTACCTGTTATTTTTCGGGGGATTTATAAGGCAGGTCACACGGCAGGCCCCGGGACTCCTGATTCCGACCTTCTAACGGAGCTCCTGCTAATCCAGGAGTCACAGTAGCTGGAATAGTGGCTGCTGTGCGCTGAGTACTTCACTCCTAGCCAGGCACCACGCGAGACGCCCTCCCACGCTAGCTCATCAAACCCTCGTAGCAGAGACATCATGAGGCTGGCATTATTGTCACTATTTTGTCGATGAAACACTGACACTTCGAGAACTTTAGAAACTTGCCCCAACTCAGACAGCTAGTAAGTGGAGGACCTGAAATTCAAATTCAGGTCATTCTGATGGCGCACCCCATGCTCTTTGTCATTCACTGTCTGCCTTGCCCAGCAGGCCTACCATTGTCTTTTGGGTTGTCAGCCCCCAGACTCTAGTGAGTTTACTGAGCTTGGAACTCTGCTGTGTGGTGTGGAAGAGACAGTGACCAAGTCACTGCCCTCGGGGAGAGGGTTAAGACAAGTCTACCAGTGTCTACAAGGGAGGGCAGCAGGGGCCGCCAGCGGCGTATAGGTTTGAAGGAGGTAGATGTCGTCTCCACAGCGGGTCCAGGAGAGGCCCCTAGGTTGGAGCCTGAAGCAGCAGGTGGAGGCCCAGTAGTGCCTGTGGGCTGGGGAGGTGTGCAGCCAACAAGCGCAGAGAGTGACCCGTGATGGCACTTGTCGGGAGTTTTCCCTTTTGGTTGTAGCACAGGAGATACAGTTCAAGAAGCAGTGAGAAGATCCTGTTCGGTTACAAGCAACAACTTGGCCGACTTTGGCAGGAGAGGACTTCCTTGGGAGGATACGGGCACTCCCAGAATCAGTGATGTGACTTCAGGACCCAGGTCCCCGTCAGGGTCTTAAGTTGGTACATGGGAACCAAAGGCCAGCTTCTTCATGACACCACTGTCATCAGGGTAAATATGTTCCATCTGCACTCAGTAGTTCTGTCACCACTGCTTGAGATTCACCTTCAAGGGAGGAAATCCCTTTTGGTCAGGGAAGGGCTGGTGGCATAGTAGGCAGTCCCCTCAGACTGTATCCGAAAACTAGTTCCCAGAAGAAGAGAAAATGGACACTGCAAAAGATCAACCCGGAAGCGTGCCAGATGAGGGCTCGGACTGGCAAGTGGGAAAGAGAGTACTTAGTTCTGACAAGCTTCTGAGCAGGCAGAAGGCAGACTGGCAGCAGGATATGGCTGGGTCAGAAGGGGACAAAAAAGAAGGGAGGGAGGAATCAGAAAACTAGATAGCGTCCAGGTGAGACCTAATGAAAGCTGGGACTTGGCAGTAGAAATGGAAAAGAAGGAACTGATTCTAGAGAGATTGTGAAAGTAAGTATCATCTTCTGGAAAAGATACTTAATTGGCTGGGGTTTGACATGTCAGTGCCTGGGTGGTGAGGCTGGTTCCTTTAGCTGAAATGGGGCAGTCAGGGCAGGGAGAGTTTGCAGAAGATGATGTGTCTGTGCTCCTGAGGAGCTGTGGGCAGGGTGCTGCCTGACAGCACACCCGCAACCCTGATGAGCACATTCCTTCTGATTCCAAGCTGCCTGCTGTTTGAGTCCCGAGGAGGTGACACCCCAAAGCCTCAGGGGCCCTATACTTCCAGAAAGCCGCTGGGGCTCTGTGACTCAGGCTCAACACATCTGCGTTTGTCAGACTTCACCCTGGGGTGGGCTTCCCCTTCCCTGCTCTCAGTTCCCATGTCCCA